CCCCCCCCCCCCCCCCCCCCACTCATATTAAGTGTAGTCCTGGAATTTTTTTTTACACAGATTCAAAAATATTAATAAATAAGTGAAAAAGAATAATAATTTTATAAAATTAACGTTATTAATAATCCTCTTTTGATGAAATCAATGAATCACAGCAACTTCTTTCTAAAGAATGTTATTAGGAATATAATGGAAAATATGTAATAAATACTTCATTGAAAATTTTAAAAAATAATTATTTTGAAACTTCTGTTTTTTTCTTCTTACATGACACGTACTATGAAAGAGATTTAATAGTAAAATAAGATTAATATACATGTCAATGTATAATAAAGAGAAATTGTCATGATATATCAATATCAACATAATAGAAATATGAACTATCTAACACAAGCTAGCACAATAGACAAATTAATGTAATAGATGAGTTAGTTTTTATTTAAATAAAATATATAGAGAGTTACATGCATATAGTTTATTGGCACATTGATATTTAAATAATCTTTTTCTTATTTAATAATAACATCTACTTTGTAATAATGTATTTTCACTTTTAATCCCTTAATTAATCATTAAAAAATAATTAATAGAACAATTTTTAAAATATTTCTAAATTTATCTTATATTGCCTTTTATGTTAGAATATTAGGGGGAGAAAGTGGAATCATTAGGTAAAAGTCTTAAAAGTCTTATGGTAGGTTTGTACAAGAAAATTTAAAAAATCAAAGAATTTGAAATTTTTGGAATTTGAATTACTTTTATTTTAAATTTTATCATTCTTTAAATGTTTTGTTTGGATAATTCAATTCAAATTTCTTAAATTTTAAATTTTTAGTTTAGATATAATAATTTGATTTTCATTATAATAAAGTTGATTTTAAATAAATAAATAAATAAATATATATATATATATATATATATATATTAAACGCACACATATTAATATTTTAAGATTAAATTTTATAAAAGAAATAAGTATTAGCTAAATTTTAAATAATTAATAGTTTTAAAAAATTAATATTTTAAATAATATTTAATAATTTAGTAAATATTTTTGAATACTCAATAATTAAGAGATAAGAGAGAGATATATATGTAGATAAGATAAGAAAGAAAATATATGAAGAATTTTAAATTCTTACTTTTCTAAAAGAATTTGAAATTTTACTATTTTAAAAATTTTCACAAATATTTGAATTTCAAATTTTTTTATAAATTCTTTATTCAAACAATATATTTTATACTAATATATTTAAAATTATTATAAAAAAAATAAGTTACTCGATTTAAATCTCTCGCAAAGAAATTTGAAAACATAATTGTTGAATTGCTTAGAAGCTATGTTCAACATTAATATCTTCACCATGATAAGAAAATATCAACGTACACTTGAAAAAGAAAATAAAGATATTGTAAAATTCAAATATACATGTGTTGATAACTTGTTCATTGTGTAATTGTTGGGGTAATAGTTTAATCATGTATTGACTTGGGGAATGTTTGAATTTTTCCATATAAGGTCTAAATTTTTTTGACAACTAATGAAGTCAAATTTATTTTATAGTCTAACATTAGTTTTTACAAAATGTTAGATAAATTAATCAGATAAAAAGACTTTCCTATAGATCAGAGAGTGAAAAGGATATTATTGCAAGTACCAAGTTGTTGTAGATGCTAGGATACCTAGTTTTGTCGCGAAAAACTAAATTAAAACCCGAACCTTCCCTTTGGTATAAACACAAAATTTTTCTTTAATGATTCAAGGTGTTGAGTCTCAATTAAATAACTGTTGTTTTTTTTTTGGAGTATAAGATGTGAATTCATGATAACATTTGGATGAGACAATAGCCATAAAAGATTGATTTTATATGCTTGCAAACAACTACTTATTCCTCCTGCATATAACCCAAATTAGAGGGGAAAATATGCTCTAAAACTTGTGATTTTGCAGGGTCGAACCAATATGACAACCATGATGGGATATTTGGGATTTTCTCTATCTGTGGTGATGCAAATCATGGATGTAAAACTTCACTACACATAAGCAAAGTATGAATCTTTGTTTCCTCTCCACTCCACACAGAGGAATTGCAAGTGTAGTATTCCTTACTTACCTCGACAACTTGTTGGTGAAATCTGTCGGTGCCTTTGATCAAGAATCCTTGTCTTTTCTTTAAATTGTTGTAAACTTGCATTACATTACATTCATAAAACAGACTACCATTTTGATCAACTCTAAACAATTTTAAGTGAAATTATTGTAAACATGCATTACATTACTTACCTTTAAGTGAAATTTCAAAACAATGTTGACAAAACAATGACAATTGAAACAACAGAAATATAAACAACACCGTCTTGACAAACCGAAAGATTGTCCATAGGGGAAATAACATCAATAGAAGAAAGAGACTAGTCTACAAAATTTGGATGACTTGTATTGGAAAATCACTTATTCTGTCTGTTACATTATAAGTTGTTCAAATATCAGAAGAAAAAAATTAGATTTCTGTACCAATCTACCTAAATGTTTACCATATATTTTTATAACACATACAATATCATGTCACACGTCATGTTTATAACGTTTAAGATCGCATACCTTTAATGACACTTCGTGCAATAAATGAATCCACCTCGTTACTTCTTCAAGATTTCAAGTAATAATTGTGATTTGAATAGAAAAACCCTATATTTCCAACATATATTAGCATAATTTCGAATAGTAAAAACTCGTATTCCCAGAGTAATAATAACCTTACCTTTAACTAATCCATGTGATTTGAAGGGTTACAGAGAGTGAATATGCATGAGCACAAAGAATGAGCGTCATGCACAACCACCAGCATCAAGTGCATAAAAAATGGAAAGAGTGTATTTACTTTTCTGTTATTGCTCTCCCTCTTAGGATGCAATATGAATTAAAAATAAATAAAGAGAATCACTGAAATAAAATAAAAACTAGAAGGCAATGACACGAACTTGGTAAGGAAAGAATTTGAAGTGTAGAGAACTAAATGGAGGTTGAAATAATGCTTTCGAGAGATGAGAGGCATTGGCAGCAAAGTGAGACATGGGTAGTGAAAAAGTTGCCGTTTTGAATCAAATCGTGGAGTTTGCCATTATTATATGCAATTACCCAATATGTGTCATTGTCAAATATTGAAACTTTTTCATTTTTAATTATGTACAAATTTTAAGCGGGGAGTATACAACCACACCAATATTTTGAGGGGTAAATCTATCTAATAAATTGTGGAGATAAAAATGTTACATCACATACTTCAATATATTTTTTTATTTAAATAAAACACAATTTATTTATTAGACTAATTCATCTATTAGTATATATAATATATTTTCATTATGCTAAATTTGATATTTGTAATTATTTTTCTCTTTATTTATTGAATTTTATATTAATTATAGTGTAATTTTATAAGGTTATAATTTTTTATCAACACTTCCTTTTACTTATGTCTCAATTGTTTTCAGTGCAATTCTAACACATAATACTACAATTCTAACACAACATGTAGATGTGGGTGATTTTCAAAATGAGCCATTAAAGAGTTAAATAAATTAAGGCGTATAAAAATTTAATATTTACACAAAAGAATTTACATGTATACATTGAATTAATGAAATAAATAAAAAGAGTCATTGATTATGCATCTGTGAGAGATTATGAAGAAGCAACTCAAAAAAAATAATAAATTTGCCATAAAAAAAATACTATTAACAAATAAAACTGAAAGTTTAGATTATAGAATAGCATGTAATATACCTTTACATGTTAGTGAAAAAACCCAAGAGGGTTGAATAAGGAGAGGCAAAAGTGAGTGACATGATCAAATGTCTCTAACAGGAATGTAAGTTCCAAACCACATCTTTGACGAAAAAGGCGTAATAATAATCACTTCATCATCCTAAACCAACATATTCTTTTGTTATGAAATCTTTAACCCTTGCGCTCATAGCTCAATCTGTCTTTCAAATAAAATAACTTCCTTTATCCCATTTAATTTTTTCCATAATGAGAACATTTATTTATTAGGAGCTGAAAATCAAAATAGGTGAAAATCATAATCAAAATAATAGAAATAGAGAAAACTGTAAAAAAAAAAAAAAAAAAAGGGGAAGAGAAATAGGGGGGG